ATAAAGACACGACCAGAAGGACGATAAAACCAAAATCTACCTTGTAGCTCATAAAGAATGAGTTGAGTATGTGAGGTAAATTGACCGCTTCTGATTTTGTTGAAGGGAGAAGGGAAACAAGGAACTGATCTGGAAATTGCAAGGCATTATTGTTCGTAGTGGCTACTTTGGAGTAGCTGGGCCCCTTTCTCCCAACTTTAGAAGAGACCCACTAGCTCCATAGTGACGAACTATTGAGAATTAATGCATTTTAATGTGAACAGTGGCTGACCTCTTGATACGTGAAATCTGTTCATATCAACAGATCTGGGAGGGCTTAAAACAGTATGTTCATGATTTCTTCCTTGCTCAGAACAACTGGTGCATATAGGGGTTTCTAGCATCTCTGCAGCCTGCCCTGACTATTCTAGTCTTATCACTGTATATGTGCATGTTTATGCTAAATAGGGAAATGAGTCCTTATTCTAATGACATCAAATAAATACAGCCCAATGGCAAGTCTTGAAAGAACTTTAAGGGGAGTGACAGGATTTGATGATGGGGAAACAAGATACTTAACTGGAGTCCTTCTTGAGACTTTTCAACTCTACAAAGGCCCATGATATTAACATATACTATGTTAGATACTATGGAATGACAAATAAAAACTCTTATTGAAAAGGAAAGCTGTCCATAATTCTGTAATGATCTGTTCACATGTTAAATCTTTCTCTTCTAACCCCAAAAACAAACACGCAAAGCCTGAAACCGAGCAGGCTCCTCCCACAGAAGCAAAGGCAGAGGAGCCCCCTGCCGCTGCTGCACCTGCTGCCAGGCTGGGACCTGGACTGGACGCTGGAGTTGAGGAGCCAGCGCAAGAGGCCGTGGTGAGAGCTGCCTCCTTCCCACCTCCATCCGCCTCGTGAGCCGCAGCCATGCTCATCCATCAATCCATTTCTCCCTCCTCATGCATCCCTCACAGGACCAACCCGCCTCCATTTCTGCTAAGACTCCCCACTTCATAGCCTTCATTCCTTGTACAGTGTAACTCCATTGCTTTTTATTTTAAAAGAGAAAATGATCTGGAGAATTGATCTTTTTATTTTAGAAAATCTCCATGGAGTCCTAGATTTGGCTCTCTAAAGAGATTGCCTTTGATGGTCTACCATTTATGTTGAATAAGTTGCAAGCATTCACAAAGACCCATGAATGCTGTACTTGCAGAGATGAAGAAATGTCCTCAATTAAGGGACCACATGCAGGTGATAAACAGATGTGTTAAAAATTTTGTTGGTTGTATGTGTGCATTGAAGACCAAGAACTTCCTCCTTCAAATCAGAAAGGAGCCAGAAATTGTAGATGATACAGTCCTATACAGAGAAGACAAAAATAATTCACAGACACTATTAGAGCTAATAAAGGGACTCGGCAAAATGATAGTGTACAGGGCCAGAACACAAAAGTCAAGGGAAACAACAGCATTGAGCAAATAGAAAAAGAAATTAAGGAAACAATTCTATTTACAATAGCTTCTGGGAATTAATTCAGACAGAGAGGTGAAAGAGTTATTAGAAGCTGCCAGGTTCTATGACTCATAGCGGCTCTAAGAACAACAGATCTGAACAGTACCCTATCTTGCTCCATCCTTACCAACTCTGATATGCCCAATCCCATTGTTACAGTCTCTGTGTCAATTCATGTTGCTGAGGGTCTTCCTGGATTTCTCTGACCTTAAGCCTTTCCCAAAATATCTAGACCCTACCTGACAGCATGCCCAAAGTATGTGAAACAAAATTTCATCATCCTTGCCTCTTAAGGAGCACCCTGGTTGCACTTCCTCTAAGATACATTTGTTTGGGGTTTTTTGGCAGTCAATGACATTCAGTACTCTTTGTTAGCACCACAATTCTAGTTAAAGAACCCTGGTGGTGCAGTGGTTAAAGCTCCTGTCTGTTAATAAAAATGTTTGGCAGTTTGAATCTTTGAGCCGCTTAACTGCAGGACAGAGATGTAACTATGGAGTAGTTTAGTCCTTACTGTGGGGCTGCTATGAGCCAGAATTGACTGGACAGTAACAGGTTTGGAGTTTTTTTCTGTTGATTTATTACTCCACTCTAGGTTATTGCTGTTAGTTGCTGTTGAGTTGATGCCAACTTGTGGTGGGATCCCCATGTGTACAGATTAGAAATGCACCATAAGGTCTTCAAAGCTGTGATATTTTGGAAGCAGGTCATCTATCTTGTGAGGTGCCTCTGGATAGGTTTGAACTTTGTGGGTAGTTAAAATCCTTTTAACCAAGGATTATATTAAAAATATTCAACAGCCAGTATGGCCCTGGAATTAGCCAGCACTAAAATCAACTTCCCCAATGTTAGATGAAGAGTTTTAAAAGGTTTTCATTCAGGAATTGCTTTTCTCCAGAGTTTTCTAGATAAACTTTAGAGAAGAAGTCATCTATATCCTTTGTGAACTATGGTCAATTTGATAAGTCATATAAATATCTGGGAACCTTGCAAGACCCAGGAACTTTGCAAGACCCTCAGGGGTTGTGAGAAGTTTAGTGTGTGCCACTCCCTCCAAACAGGAAAAGTTCATCAGGCTTATTCTCCATCTGTGGATTGAAAAAGAATGGAAATCATGTTAAATAAAAGGGATAGCTTGCAACAGTCCAGTTTACCTAATGATATTGAAAGTATCTGCTTTGCAGGTTTTTCACATTAATATACTTGAATGAAATCAATCTCTTTGTTCTCCTTCTATCGTGAATAATAGAATCACATAGAATATAGGACTTAACCAAAGTGTCAAAGAACAATGATGTCAGCGTAAAGACTAAGGTGTGCTGTGCACCTGATTCAAGGAATAGTGTTTTCAGTTGCTTCCCATGCACCTGAAAATTCGAGATTCAATAAAAAATGACAGAAGAATCAATGCCTTTGGATTTTGATGTTGGAGAAGAATACTGAAAATGCCGTGAACTGTTGAAAAAAAAACACACACAAAACAAAGACGTCTCTCTTGGTGGAAGTGCAATTAGGGTGCTCCATAGAGGCCAGAATGGTGACACTTCATCTCACATGTTTTGGTCATTTTGTCAGATGGGGCTAGTCCTTGAAAAAAAGCATCATTCTGGAAATGCTAGTAGAGCATGAATGAAAGAGAGTAAGACCATAAAGGAGATAGGTCGACACAGTGACTGTAGCAAAAGGCTTAAGCGTGTGGGAAAGAGGGTGGATGGTGTTGATAGAGTGAGATTCTGATCTGTTGTTTCAGGGTTGCTGTCAGTTATAGCCAACTTGGCAGCACCTAACAGAACAATAACAAACGTAGGTTTCAGGAGGAAAATGTGGTTATCCGCTTCCGTTAGGATTACATTCTTGGAAAACCTATGGAACAGCTACACTCTTGTCTTATCAGGCAGTCACATTTTGAAATCAACACAGTGGTGGTGGATCATAGTAGTGGTAAAGTAGATTTATGATTTTTATTCTGTTCAGAGTTAATCCAAATCATAATGTTAGAGTGCTTTTTTTTTATCAAAATACTCCTTCTGTCACCAGATGTATGGTATTTAATTGTACAAACATAAAAGCCTGTGTCCCAAGCATTAATTAATAAGCTGGCTGCAGTTGTCATCAGTCAAAACTGGGCTGACATGACCTTTAGAGGTAATCCTTTTTGGCTCCCTAAATGTCAGCACACAGTTATTAGTTCAAGCCTTGACAGATTGCATTTCATCTGCGCTAAAGTGTGGTGATTTGGTAAAAGCTAGAGGCAGATGCAATTTTAAAATCGGGAAATTCTAGAAGTGGTTTACAAGAAAACCTGGGGCTTTTGAGAAAGTTAATGATTACGTTTTTGTTTGCTGTTTTATTGTCTACACAATGCATATTGTCTTTAGTATTTTTCCCCACAGCAAATTTCACCATTGAATCTAGAACATGTATCTATAACTGACATCTTTACTTCCCTTGCCACTGATGTGTTTGTCTTTTGTAAATAGTCTTCATTGGGGGAAAAAAAAGCCCTACCCTTAATTTACTATATTTTAGTGTATATATAAGAGAATTAAGTAAAAAAGAAGGTTAAGATTATTATAAATCCAAATAATGTGTTCTTTGCTTATAGTTAAGCATTTAGCATGTACATCATTAACTTCTAGAAAATAAACTGACTCATTCCATATGGACACTCTTTTTCGTTTAGTTAAAGTTTTGCCAGCACATAAATTTTGCTGAAATTGTATGTTGGACCAGCATCTTTCCCCTCTATTGATTATGAAGAAAAGAACTATAATTAAATTTAGAATTAGTATAATTTCTAAAATAAATAAGTGGAGAAAACACAGGTAATGATGGTTTTAGAATTATTTGAAACCTGGAACATGAAATTCTGAATTATTGTTTTGAGGACTGCTTTGCTGTGTATATATTAAAATAAATATATACATCAATTGACTTGCCAAGAAAAACTTAATCAACGAATACATTGTTGTTGTTGTTGTTAGGTGCCATCAAATCAGAACCAATTCATAGAAGACCCTCCGTGTTTTTAGAGCACTATGTCTAATAGATGACCCTCCATGTTTTTAAAGCTGTAAATCTCACCAACAAAAATATACCTATCATAAATGCAGGACTATAATCTAGCAACTTTGTCTTTACCATAAATCTTTGTTTCTGCTCGTTTTCCTTTTCTCAGCTAACAGTTTTGAGCCTTTGGTAGCCATGGCTCTGTTTTAGACCCAGGACACAGCCATGCAGACGTGGCTCCTGCTGCCAGCGATCTCACACACAGATTGTTAAGACCATGAATAAACTGTGGCAGGGGCATATCTGTATGACAGTTAAATGCAGGGGAAATGGCATTTGAGTTTTCTGCTTGTCCAGAGTGAATATAGGATGAGGGATTCCACTCTGCTTCAAGAACTAATCTCTCAATATGTCAGAGAATGGCACTGAAGAGCAAAGGAAGCCAGTGAGCTTGGTTGATTGTTCTTCCATCACATGGATATAAATCCAATTCTTCAGTGGCCACAATTCTAAAATTGCCAAGAAACAAGAAACACACACACACACACACACACACACACACACACACGCATACAGAGATATCTTATCCCTAACATATCATTCAGGTTACAATGAACCTCACCTAGGATTATCCTTGTACCTTTTTTGGGTGTTGATCTTATCATTAGTTCTATGTACTATATACAGAATTTCAGCACGTAATTGGCTGGTGTTATCATTCTCAGATGTGTATGTGTGATGTTTCCACCATTACAAAAAACAGTATCCTACTTTAAAAGATACTGATAAAAAAAAGATACTGATAAGAAGACAGTAATGAAAATGAAAGAAAACAAAACAAAACAGTATTTGGCTCCGATTAGAATGACCAATGGTATAGTCAACAGAATAGAACTCCCTTGTAAGTCAGGAAGCACATGTGTGTATAGATATAAATACATGCATATGTATAAATGATAATACTGAAGATGTATATATACTTATAGAAATTATTTTTCTCTTAATTTGATTGCATTTCTATCAGCAATTCTATTTTCAGTGCTTCCCTGTGCTTGTTCTCTCTAGTTCCATGGTGCCCATTAATAGTCCAAGTTATTGATTCACTTATTGATTGCCATTACAGTCTATTTTGGTTCCAAAAGGGATTACAACTTGATCTCTTTAAATATAAGGTCATTTTCTTTGTCTTTGTTCCCATCTAATTTTTTAATAGATTTTTCTTTATTTCTTTTAAAGCTCTGTTTTTTAATTGTGATTTTAATCAAAGTTTACAGAAAAGTTGGATTTGCATTAACCCATTGTTGCACATTTTCCTCCCTACCACCCCAGTTTACTTAAAAAGAAATATTCATTCA